GAGGAAGGCTGTCTACCTGATGTCTTTATATCCATGCTCAGATGCCAAGGAGCTCAGAAAGTAACTGACTGTGACTAGTAATAATCAGATATATAGAGATTAGAAACGTATGTGCAAACATCTTAGCGTCAATTGCATTAAAAGTGAATTTTATGTATGAAACTGTATTTTAATAATGAAATAAGATCTTTTTTAAAGGTTAAAACCTCATTTAATTTTATGTCTTAAAGGGTTTATACTGAGTACAATATTATATAACTATTAATTCAACTGTAAACCTAAAAATTTACAGACAATCTTGAAACAGATGCATCTTAGCTCTGGAAATTGTTATTGAATATGTCAATGCTGTTGTCATGAAATGCTTCTTCTAATTATATGGCTATTAAATAAATAATTTAAAAAAAATCACACCAAATAAATAAATCACATGTACAGTTGCCCCTCACATTCCTCTGGCTCAGACTAGCTCTGAAGCACATTAAGCTGTAAAAAGACTGGAAGATGGTATCACTATGCCGATGGCCTAGCTCAGATGTTTAGAAGACTTGCTTATTAAAAGAAATGAGAGAACAGATACTGTGATGAGAGTGTGGGGCTATTGCCAATGTAATTACCACACGAGTGATAAAGTAGAAAAGCTAGGAGAGGCCAGCAAGATGGCTTGGTGGTGAAGGTGCTTGCCCTACAAGCTTGGCAGCCTGAGTTCAATTCCCAGAACCCATGTAAAGGAGGCAGTATAGAATGGATTCTACACAGTTGTCCTCTGACCACCACATGCATGCCCTGGCACATGTGTCCACCCCCATGAACTGTCAAAATAAACAGAAAGGGAAAAAAAAATAAGAAGGAAAAGGAAAATTAAGTTACTGTTTGTATAACAGTTAAATAATTCCATTTTAAAAGATTACTGGAAAGAAAAGTCTTGAGTCATTCACTTGGTAGTTAGGTAAATAATTGGAATCAGTGGGAAAATTACTGGCCTGTAATAAACTTTAAACTGAAAGAAACTTTTTATGTTTTCAGGTTTCAAACATCTTTAAATAGATCCCTTGGGATTTCTGCCAGCCAATTCAATGGCGTCCTCTACTACTGTGCCTCTAGGATTTCACTATGAAACAAAGTATGTTGTCCTCAGCTACCTGGGACTCCTCTCTCAGGAGAAGCTGCAAGAGCAACCCAGTCCCTCACCCCAAGGTACTGTCTTTGGCTCATAATAAGGTCTTGATTTGCAGCTAAGTAATTTATATATGTATTTGTATCTAAGCAATTTATATGTGTAAGATCAAGTACTATTAATATGTTTATGGAGAATAATCACTCCCATCCCACTCCCATTCCATTCCCAGTCCCACCTTGCTTTGGAAGGTTTTTTTGTTTTGTTTTGTTTTTTTAATATTTTATTTGTTATTTCTATTTTACGTGTATGAGTGTATTGCCTCCATGTATGTGAGTGCACCTGTATCGTGCAGTGCCGCAGAGGTCAGAAGAGGGCTTTGGGTTCCCCTGGAACTGGAGTTAAGGACGGTTTGTAGCGGCCATGTGGGTGCTGGGAATTGAACCTGAGTCCTCTGAGCCATCTCTCCAGCCCCTTGTTTGATTTTTCACATTTATTTTGTGTGTGTGTGTGTGGGTGAACTTAGGTTATCAGGTTTTCTGGCAAGCACCTTTACCTGCTGAGCCATCTCAGCTACAGACAGGATCTTGCCATGTCCTGAAACTTGTTATGTAGACCAGGCTGGCCTTTTATTTGTGTCAGTCCTGCTTCTGCTTTCTAGTGCCAGGACTGTAGAGATGTGCCACCATATCTGGCCTGCCCATTTATTTATTTATTTATTTATTTATTTTTATTTTATTTTTTTATTATTATTTTTATTTTTTTATGTGTATGAGTGTATTGCCTGCATGTATGTGAGTGCACCTGTGCTGTGCAATGCTTCAGAGGTCAGAAGAGGGCTTCAGATTCCCCTGGAACTGGAGTTAAGGATAGTGCGTGGCTGCCATGTGGGTGCTGGGAATCGAACCCAGGTTCTCTGCAAGAGCAGTCAGCACTCTTAACCACTGAGCCGTTTCTCCAGCCCCTTATTTATTTTTTAATTTACTGTGTGTCTGCGTGCGTGTATGTGTGTAGGCATGTTTGTGTGATGGTCAGAGGATAGCTGTTTTGCAAGTTCTCTCCTTCTACTTTTTGTTTGGTTGTTGTTGTTTTTGTTTTTTGAGACAGGGTATTCCTCTAGCCCCAGCTGGCCTGGAACTAGATAAGTAGACCAGGCTGGCCTTGAACTCACAGAAACCCACCAGCCTCTGCCTCCTGCATGCTATGATTAAAGGCCTGTGCCACCATACCCACCTGTCTTCTATTTTGTTTTCTGAGGCAAGGTCTTGTTACTTCTGTGCTGAGTTGCATGTGTAACCTTCTGGCTAATTCTACTGTGTGCCTCTTATTTGGCCATAAGGGTGCGGGGCTGGGATTACAGACACAAGTCACTTCATCCTGCTTTTTTTTTTTATGGGGTTCTGGGGATTGAACTCAGCTCCTCAGGTTTGGGAGGGAAGTGTGTTTATCTGCTCATTCATCTCACTAGGCCCCGACTTTTAATGGTTTTGAGAGTTTGATGCTTGAAATTATTGCCATTGATACAGGTAAAAATGTGTTACATAGCGTGGTGGCTCATGCCTTTGATCCCAGCATTGGAGAGGCAGAGGCAGGTGGATCTCTGTGAGATGGTGGCCAGCCTGGTCTACATAGTGAGTTCCAGGTCAGCTGGGGCTACAGGGAGACGCTGTCTCAAAAAGACCAAAAAAAAAAAGTATTACATAAATATCAATAAACAGAACTTGTTCTCTTTAGAGATTTCACACTTGATATGACATGATTAGAATGACATAATGATTTTTAAATGTACATATAATTGAAGTATTTTATTATTTTATTGTTCTATTTTTCTTTTTCTTTTGGTCTTTTTGAGACAGGGTTTCCCTGTAGCTCCAGCTGTCCTGGAACTCACTATGTAGACCAGGCTGGCCTTGAACTCACAGAGAATACCTGCCTCTGTGCTAGGATCAAAGGTGTGAGCCACCATGCCTGGCTGTTTTTTTTGAGACTGTCTCATAGCCCAGGCTGCCCTTGAGCTTACTGTAGCCAAGGCTAGCTATGATCTCATTTTCCCACCACAGCCTGCTGAATATAGGGAGTATAGGTATGAGCCACCATGTCTGGCTTTTTTTTTTTTTTTAAAGACTAATTTTTATTTATGTGTACATGTCTGTGTATGTGTGCCACACGTGTGCTGGTCCCTTCCAAGGTCAGAAGAGGGTATCGAATCTCCTGGAGCTGGAGTTACTGTTATGAGCCACCTGCTGTGGGTACTGGTAACCAAACTCAGATTCTTTGCACAAGCAGCACTCAACAGCCCCTTTTTTGTTTTTTGTTTTGTTTTATTTTTGGAGACAGAGTCTCATGTAGCTCAGGCTGGTCTTGCATGGTGGCATACACCTACCATTCCAGTGCTTGGGAGGCAGAGGTTAAAAGGATCAGGAGTTGAAGGCCATCTTTGGCTACATAGAGAGTTTATGGCTAACCTGGGCTACATGAGACCCTATCTCAAAAAAACAAAAAACAAGGAGAAGGTTCAGTAGGTAAAGGTGTTTGCCACTAAGACCGACAACCTGAATTTGATCCCTGGAACCCACCTGGTAGAAGGAGTGACTTGTGTATGCTCACACACATACACAAAATGGACCAATAGATAAGACCTTTTAACTGACTATTTCAGTAATATGAATTTATATAACAATTTAAGAGTCTACAGAGTGTAGGTCCTTGGACAGGACTCCCGTATTGAGGTCCATCCACCCAGGGCTCAGGGACCATTGCAGAAGAGGGGGTGGAAAGATTATAAGAGCCAGGGAGGAGGTCCATGACCATATGGAAATGGCCCTACAGGCACCTGGGGCCCTTCTTATACAAACCTACAGCAATGGTGTCAGCATGCACAAGACCCATGCAAACTTAGGCAGACAAAAACCCAGCACAGAACTGTGGAAATGAACAGGAAGCCACAATCTTTTTTTTTTTTTTTTTAGTATTTTTTTTATTATTTTTATTTTATGTGTATGTATAGGTGAGCATGCGCTGGGCTCTCAGGGTCCCAGCGCGAACTCCTGGGCAGTGAAAGCTCCTCCGCTACTGAGGTCTACTCAGTCGATCCCATCCCTATTTCACCCGTATACCTTCCTCAGGATGTGAGGTCCACTGGCCACTTGGACCACACGGGAAGCGTACGAGGAACGGCGAAAGCCAGGGTGTCCGTGAGTCGGTGACGGAGGAATAGCGCCCCCCCCCCGGGGAGACTGGATCACAGGATTTAGTGTTACAGCTCAAGAGTGATCCAGCTCCAACTTTATTGGAGTAAAACTAGGACTATTTATAGTGTAGAGACAGTAGAAGAAGTCTTAGCTGATAGGTACTTTTAGGATGCCTCATTTACATAGGTCGGTGGGCTTCTATCAGGCTATCAGACAACGCCTTATTAAAACCTGGTAGCTCCTGTGCCGGAGGGCATGTATTTGTGGCGAGCACTTTAAGAGAAGAGTCAGGGAGGATGCCAGGAAGGCACTCTGCTATGAAAGGAATCTGCAGCACATGGTTTCCGAGCTCGTGAGCTATCCGGACGTGAAGAGACTTCTACTTTGCATAACAGAGGACCCCAACATGTATGAGTGTATTGCCTGCATGTATGTGAGTGCACCCGTGTCCTGCAATGCCACAGAAGTCAGAAGAGGGCATCGGATTCCTCTGGAACTGGAGTTAAGGATGGTTCGTAGCCGTCATGTGGGTGCTGATAATGGAACCCGGGTCCTCTGCAAGAGCAGTCAGTGCTCTTTACTACTGAGCCATCTCTCTTAATCAAAGAATTATTGGCAGCTGATTACTGCTGGGTAAGGAAGAGCTGAATTTGAAGGGAGAGACTGTAGATAGGCTGACTAAACTCCGGTGGATGAACTGCACTGAGGGCCATCTGAGGACACTAGCTTTACATAATAGGCCTTAACACAAATGACAGAATGTATGAACTCCAGCGGGGCGTGGGGCGGTATATGGGTGGGTGCCGAAGGGGGAAGGGGGTATAAAGATGATTTTCTGTATGAAACAAAAATTCAATAAAAAATATATAACAAATTCATATTTATGAGAGACTCAGTGTATTTTTTAAAATTTGTTTTTATTGAGCTCTTAGTGTATTTTAAAAAATATTTTATTGTTTTATTTTATGTGTTTGAGTGTATTGCCTGCATGTGTGTTGGTGCACCCATGCCGTGTAGTGCCCACAGAGGTCAAAAGAGTGTCAGATTCCTCTGGAACTGGAGTTAAAGATGATTGTTAGCTGCCACTGCCATGTGGGTGCTAGGAATAGAACCTGGGCCCTCTGCAAGAGCAACCAGTGCTCTTAAGTGCTGAGCCAGCTCTCCAACCCCTCTCAGTGTATTTTTAGCACAATTCTTCATTTTATGAAGTTGTATGTACCAATCTTTTTAAATAATATTGTATGTATTTGAATGTGTTGCCTGCTTGTATGTAAGTGCACCCAAGTTCAAAGCCCTTGGAGGTAAGAAGAGGGCATTCATTGGATCCCCTGGAACTGGCGTTCTGTACAGTTGTCAGCCATCACATAGGTGCTGGGATCTGAATCCAGGTCCTCTATGAGAGCAGCCAGTGCTCTTAAATCGCTTTGCCATCTCTCCAGCACTCCCCAATCATTATCTTAAAAAAATTTAGATTTATTTTTATTACTTATAATTATGTGCATATGTGGAGGGGGAGGCTATGTGAACATGAGGACAGGTGCCCTTGGAGTTCAGAAGAGGGTGTCAGATCCCTTGCAACTGGAGGTACAGGTGGTTGTGAGCCATAGAACATTGGTGCTGGGAATTGAATTTGGGTCCTCTACAAGAGCAGTACCTGCTCTTAACCAATGAGCTATCGTGCCCATTTTTAGAATATTTTTATTACATTTATTTATTTTTGGAGACAGGGTCTCACTATGAAGCCCTGGTATGGCCTGGAACTCACTATGTAGACCAGGCTGGCCTCGACCTCACAGAGATCCTCCTACCTGTGCCTCCTAAGTGCTGGGATTAAAGACATGTGCCACCACACCCAGAGTGTTTATTTTGTGTGTATGTGTATTGCTACA